GCCGGCGCTCCGCAAAGTGCGCGTATCTGCTGACGAGATGATGCGTGCCCTTCTGGGCTCCAAGCACAAAGGCTCCATGGACCTGCGCGCCAATCTCAAGTCCGTCAAGAAGGAGGACATCAAGCAGGAGAAGGTGCCGCTGCTGGGCCGTTTCGTGGCCTTTAAACAAGAGAGCTACATAAGAATAATGCCCTCCCAACATCCTTAATTAAATATTCAGCAATTAGTATAACTAAATGAGCACTGATCAATAAATGCATCCATGGAGTGGAACTTAAGCATCTAAGCAGTGAATAGCTAACTGGCCTAGTTCAGTAAAAAAATGTAGCCTGACATGCAGTTTTTTTACTAACCAGCAGACTAGTGTTCAGTTTTTTTTGTCCCTGCCCAACTCCAGTCCTGGGGGGGCGGAGCCCTGTGTAGCTTAGTTCTTTCCTTGTTCCACCACAAATGATTCAGCTCAAGAGCTGTGCTGAAATTAGCACAAGGAGTTGAATCAGGTGTGTTAAATGAGGGAAAACCAAAAACTGTGCTGGGCTCCGGCCCCCCAGGACTGGAGTTTGACACCCCTGATCTAAATTATTCCCTTCAGGCTAGGCCCACAGGCAGAAATAAATTTCATGGGGGGTCTGGCAACCTTACCGATTTTACCAGTCTGGGCAGAGGGAATACCACTCGGTAGATTTTGCCAAAGTAAATTCAACTCAACAGCTGCATGTACTGTACCTTCTCTTGCAGGTGCTCACCACCGAGGTTGGAGACTGGCGTAAAAACGTGGAGGCTATGTCCGGTATGGAGGGCAGGAAGAAGATGTTCGATGCTGCTGGTGGCCAGTGAGCTCTGGGATACACGACACACTTCAGTAAAGACTGCAAATACATATGAAGAAATAAGAAAAAGAGACATTTTTATTTTATCTTATACTACAGACAATGAAATCTTAGCACAAAGGCTAGGGGTGTGCAGAGCTGTGTTCTAAAGTAACTGAGATGTACTTTAGCGTAGCTACTAACTAAGAGGCAATAAGAGTGAGAGGACCTTTTGGGTATCTCTCATGTTTAGTTTGAAACGCAGCATGAAACACAGTGCATGGAGATTACATGGTATGTACTCTGGAGTCAGGCACAATGGTTAACTGAAATATGATTTGGAACTACCCCTGAAAAGACTAATTGTTAATGCACTTCAAGGTCAGAATGCAGCTAACTAACATGGCCTCTCCTGGATCTCTCTCAGGAGGACCTTTGTAGCTGCTATAGCATTTTACATTGTGCTTCACTGTCCTTCTTTCCATTCCTCATTCACCCTTAAGTGAACCTTGACTCAATGGTGTAACAATGTATAATTGGATGCCGTGAGAAGGATTCCAGATTTTCAGGAATAAACTGCAAAAATAAGGGAAAATCACTCAAAAGTCCCTATAGATTACAAATGGTTAACATTTTCAGGCTGTTTATTATATGATCATACCCTCAAAGGTTGTTGACATGGAACAGTGTTTACAGTACTTATATAATAATTCATATAATATATAATATAATTGCTGAAAATAACTGAACTGCTAATAAACACAGAATCTGTCTTTGTCTGGTGTTTTATTTTAACCTAAGCACCATGCATGCATGAACTGTGTTTTCACAACATATGTTATTACTCTCATAGACGTTTTGTTGTGGAATACTATAAAAATAAAGCACACAAATACTCATTTTACATTTTAAATGTGTACTCTACACAAACTTAATTGAAATCACGTATTTAATTCACCTTTGAGGGCTTGATTAGATGCTGTCTTTCCTTAAAGGAATTTACATCTTTCTGTACAGTTATAGTAATTCAAGTTAATCAAAATTATTGTAACACAGCTTCACTTGGGTACTTACACCAGCAACCCTTTACATTTCTCTCCATGGCCTTAATGACCTCCCTGCCCTCTGCCCAATCTCAACTGGACTTCACGGCTCAGGACTCAATACGTCAACAGCACTCTCAAAATAAAAACCACAAGAGAATTTAGCTTTATAACACTGAGACTATTGGTACAATGTGCAATAAGGAGAGTAGAACCAGTGCTAAACCCATAACACTGACCGGCAGGTCATGGGCTATTTTTAGTGCATGAGCAGCAGTGATGCACTTATGGAAATTCCAGCCATCGACAATAGTGGACTGTGAGAGGTAGAGAGGGGATGGTGGTGCAAATGGAATGCTGGTTGGATTGTCACCGAGAATCCCATGTCTGTGTAGGATAAGGGTGCTGTCTGTGAATGACGGCTTAAATGTCTGACCCTGGATGATTCCTGGTATTACTGCTATTTTTGCTCTTCCAGAAGCATTTGCAAAGAAGAGAGTAGTATTGCATCAACATTTCACTAACTCTCCATACAGCAGTATGATTCACCCAGATGAGTCATGCTATGATCTGTATTAAATAGTCCTTTGATCCTGAAGCATAGAAGTTAATTTTCATATTAATTAATCAGTTTGACTTATTACATGACATTAGTGCATTTTTGCAAACCAGTTGTCCCACTCTGCCTGAGAGCTGATTTAAAAAATATTAATCAAATGATAAATTGCTACTTAAATAGCCTTGGTTAGTTTCTGTCTGACGGTCATAACAGAGCTACCTAAACTTAACTGAAAAAACAAAAACTGTTCAAAACATGAATGTTTAGAAGGCGACAAAACAATGACAATGTTTTTACTAAGTCATGTGATGTAATGTTAAGTCATGTTATGTTAAATCATCTTATGTTATGTGGAAAATAGAGCTAGTAGTCTTTTCTCTATCTCCCCTCCCCTTAAACTATTAGCAATTGTCCAGGAATTTTTTGCATTAAGTGAATTATCCCATAGTTCTGTCTTTAGCACTGTAATGTTTGTCTTCTCATGAATGTTGCATTGCGGGTTCAGGAGGAACATCATTTAGTTTCACTCAGTATTGCACAGTGCTGAAACAATCAATCTTGTATGAACCTGTTTTCAGAAGTGAATGTGGTTTATGACGCTGAACTGCATTAATCTTGCTTTTGTCTGATAATCCAACAAAGGAGTAAAGAACAGAAGCTTACTTGTACTTTTCAAACTGCATAATCTACCATTTTCCCTAGATCCTTAAATAGCTGAGCTACACATGGTCCCCTGGGACAGTGTTTCTGCTGGGGGTCTGAGTCACCTCTCCACTATGATGAAAGGCAATTCCTAAACAAATAAAAAAAATATTAGAGAATTCCATGTTCAAGTTTATCCTAAATTCTCCAGAATGTTCTTACGGTTCATAGTGTCCTCCACTAAAATCTGCTAACAGTGCATGATTGGCAGAAGAGCAAATAAAATCTTTTGAGGGTGAACTTTGAACTTCAAAATTAAAACTGGTGGAACAGGGAAGATAATAGAGAGAAGTGAGAGTGTACAGCCGGTTGTTAAAGTTCAACTGGCACACTAGACTGTTTTTCGTCTAGCCTCGTCACATGCTGCGCTCCATTTTAAAGGATTGCTGCTAGTATTGGTGATGAGGTTTGTAAGAGGTTAAGCAATGGTTGCAAACTACGGAATAAATGTTCTGTACCATCCCGTAAGACCTAGAAAAGTACAAACCTACTGTATTTCTTTCTTCTTGGCCATAGGCCATTGAGCCACATTGTCCACTTGTCGATGAATCTGCTGTACTCCGAGTTGCTGTACTCCAGAGGTATAGTGTTAACCCCACCATTTTAATTGTTTTCTGTATGCTGCGGGGATGGTGGATATGGTCTTTGCATGTCATGCTGTAGATGACTATATCATCTGAGTAAGCTGCAAAATAGTCTTTATATCCTTAAAGGACATGGTCTATTAAATGCTGCAAGGTGGCTGGGAGTTCATGAAGACCAAACGGCACGACCATAAAATGATGTAGACCTAAAGGTGATGTGGATGCAGTTATCTCCCTTGACTGCTCATCCAAGGGCAACTCTCTGTAGCATATATAACGAGCTATAATATACAGAGATGTAATAATTCATCTATTTGTGGCATTGAATACACACCAAATTTTGACACACAACTGACTTTCTGAAAATCACCACAAAGGCATGTGGAGCCATCTTTTTTTTGGGGAATAACCTGTGCGCTGCTTCATTCACTGAGAGAGGGCTCAATGATGCCCAGTCATGATTTACTCCTTCATTGCGGTAAGTTTGCTGACATATCGGTGCTGCACAGAGGTGGTATATGCAGGTGAACCATTTATACCCACCTCTTAAAAAAATGGATTTACTGTATACCCAGAGGATAAGTGCATATACATAATTATACAGTATAACAGCATACACACCCACTAAGACACCACTACACCGCTGGTGGTGCATCTTTGAGATGTATAGTATCCATTAACACATCAGTGTCTCCTGCCCTGGAAAAGTACTGGAAACTTTTTTTTTTTTTTTTTACTTTTGTCCTGTCCGGCAGCTTTAGCAAGCAGAATCATGGTCCGAATGCACTGCTGTGCCAAACATGTTTGCTTTACCATGAGGGGCTCTATAAACTCTGTATAGGCCGCTCATGTCGATCGGTTTCTTTTTATTTTATTTATTTATTTCATTTTTAGCACATGTAAAATATTGCAGTGGCTGAGCTGGCCGAAGAGGATCGACAGGTTAGGAGGGGGAAGAAAAAGAAATAAAATTAAAAAAAAAAAACCAACACAACAACCTGAAGACACGGAAGAAAATGAGATGTGCGGACTTGTGTGCGTGTGTTTTCAACATGAACTGGAAGTACAAGAAAAAGAACTAGAAACTTGCCAAACATGGTCTGAGTCCAAGCTCAGCTGGTGCTGAGATGGTAGGTGGCTTAACAGTGTTTTCTTCATCTACTTCCTCACAGCCCTCTTCCACTTCCATTTTAGTAAGGGTCCCGCAGCATCAGGAGGTGCCCATCACCTCCATTTATGGTTGTTCCTGCTACAGAGCACCTGCGCATGCCCAGTAACAACCGGCAGTTTTAAAACACGCAGAGAACGATGCCTTCGTTTGGGTCCAGGGAAGCAGGGAGTGTAGCGCACCACCGAGAACACAACAACCTGAAGACACGTTAGAAAATAATAATATAGGAAATAAACGGAAAACATACAGGTCAAACTACGTGATCATGACATGTGAGTGTTGGTATTTTACGGTTTCTTTTATGTAAAATTAATGTATAGAGTACATAGAATTAAACCGGAATTTGTATATCTGGATTAATGCGTAAACATAGTCAGCGTTACCCAATCCGATCCTCGCGTTCCCGCAGACAGTCCACGTTTTGGCTACTACCGGGAGCTGAGAGGGAGCAAAAATGAGGACCGGTTGCTGTGGGTCCCCGAGGACCGGATGGAGAAACACTAGTTTAATTGGTTATTACGATTGCGTAATTTATTTAATTAAACCGTAATCTGTATATCTGAATTTCTGCATCTGCACACTCCACCCCAAAAATAGACAACAACGGCGGACCAAAATAACGTAGGCTAAGTAAAATATAAGTAAAATAATAACTGGCAGTTTTGAAATAACCCTCAACGCGACATTCCTCAAAAGAAATTAATCAGCAAATGCGCTGAAGTTCACGTAAAATAAGGACATGGCAGCTCTAGTCTTATAGGTCTTAAATGGTGAAATATCACTGGGTTTAAAGGTTGTGATTTGTTACAGGTTACAATGGCTAAATTTTGCATTATCATTTTGTTGTGGTCCATTTTCATTTAGGTAATATAATACATTTACCAGAGAAATTTAGTGACAGGTGTGAGAAAATAATTTTCACCGTTAAAATGATGGTTACACATATATTACCAATGTGTCATTTTTTATTTGCATAGTTAATGCTCAGTTTGGTCCATCTGTGTGGTGCTTCCTGTTAATACAAGCTTTTTTTTTCTTTCAGGTATTATTTTAGGAAGCATATAGTCATTTTGCTAAGTGCTACATTTTGAAAGATTGGGATATTCATGATCTTACATCTTTAAAACGTAAGTGCACGGAATGCATGCAGTTAAAAGGCACGTTTGAGGAAGTAGGCCTGTAGGTCTACATGTTCATCTATAAGACTATAATAATTTTTATACAGAGAGACAAACACTAAGTGAAATAATATGTTTTTGTGTGTAAGTTAATTGTGTGAGGGACACTATCTTCAGATACCTAAATAAGTATTAACAGCTGCACAGTGCAATGCAGAACTTCTTTCAGCTTCTGGCAATTGATTTACAAAAGAAATTTAGAGACACTGTCATTTCATCTGTCCACAAAACCTTTGTAAAATCAGTTTTAGATGTTTCTGTGCCCATTCTGGACATTTGAGCTTGTGTGCCATGTTGAGTGGAGGTTGTATTTGAGCCTTCCTGATGTAGTGACACACGGCACCTAGTACTTCTGGAAATTCTGTTAAGATTTCAGTTTTGAAAAATGGTGGCACTTGATGGTAAAGGGTTTCTGGAAAACTCCCATTTAATTTAATGCAATCATTGCAGTTAATTTATGTCGTTTCTATACATGCTCTCTACATTTACTCCAAACAGAAAGTATTCAGATAAAATAGTGAGCATGCTCTATTTTAAACAGTCCATTCTTAAGTCTACCTTTATCTGGACTGAAAATATTGGTATGTGTCACACCCCCCTCGTGAGAATGCCGGCTCCTTCAGTGATTTGACTGCACCTGGCGTTGGCCCCTTTAAGAGCCTGTGCCACCTCACGCTGAGTTCTGACATAGTGAGCATTTCCCGCTAGTCTCCCATGTAGCCCTGATCTGACCTGCCTGCCGTGTTCCTGTCTGCTTCTGTTCCCCCCAGATCCCATTGTTATCTCTACTCCTGTCCAATGTCTCCGGTGTAGGACTGACTTCCCTGGCTTACCTGATCTTCCGCTTCATGACCTGACCACATTTCTGCCTCTCAATTCTGCTTCTGTTTGCCCTGGTTCTCATAAATCAACCTGCTTTCTCGGCACCTGCATCGCTCCCAAGTCTTCTGTCACAACAGTGTGAAGAGATGATGCAACTAACTATATATATATATAAATATATAAACAGGGTGGACAATCACAGACAGGGCAACACCATACTACTAACGTCAATGACAGATCTGACGGGACTGAACTCGGACGCGGACTAAGTATACAAGACAGGCTGGGATTAACTAGAAACAGGTGGGAACAACCAGGAGTCAACATGAGGTAATGAGGGGGCGTGGCACACACGAGGATCGTTCGGAGCTGAGCGTGACATATATATGGTATATGAATGGTAGGAGGATAGATGTTTGTATGGAAAGAAGGAATTCAGCACAATTGTAGATTAAAAATTGGCTGTTGTAATTACAGGTTGTTAACCATTGTACTTTTTGTTGTAGGATGGATACCACACTTTGGTCATGCCTGTTATCCTGCCTGTTGCTATTCATAGCTGATGCAAAACATCTTCAGCAACAAACGGGACCAATTACATGCAAAGTTTCCAGGGCCACCAGCATGGACCTCTCTTACAAACACCTTAGTAAAGTTCCAAGAAACTTGCCAAGAAACATTCAGGAGCTGGACTTGTCTCGCAACAACATTTACAGTTTACATGACAAGGACCTGGAGGGTCTGCCAGACCTCTGTATTCTGAAGATCACACACAATGGCCTTTTAGACATTTCCCCATCTGCGTTCCTGGGAAATATTAAACTGCAGCTCCTTAACATTTCCTTCAATGCTCTGAGAACCATTCCAGAGCTTAGTCTGCCTGATCTTCGAGTTCTTGACGTATCAGAAAACCTGTATGGATCTTATTACTTAGGAAAATCCTACACAAGTCTTTTAAACCTTGCATTTCTTGCACTTGGAAGTCCTCAAGCAAGATCGATAAATTTGACTGACTTTGCTTCACTCCATGCAATCCCTCTCCAGAGTCTGAAATTAAGCAGTGGAGTTGAGATGAAATTGTATGAACATGGATCTATTGCTCAGCTAACAATGCTACAAGAGTTGACTCTTCACATGACATTCTGTGAAAACCCGGAGATATTCGGAAATATCCTGCAAGATCTGAACAAAACTAATGCGGAGAGTTTGACTCTGGTAAAGTTCTTTCCTGATATTTGTAATGTCTCCAATGGCATTTTTGCAGGTTTTAGAAGTTTAGGACATCTTAAAAGCCTTTTCTTCTATAACACCTGGTTCAATAGTTCAGTTATGACCAGTTTAGTGCGCAACGTTATCCAGTCTCCAGTTAAGATATTATCATTTTATAACATAACCTTTGCCCAAGACACACCGGAAGGTATCCACATTCCTAATGTTCCAGGATATAATAAACCAGGAAATATCAGGATCATAGTATTTCAGACTATACACCATTATCAATATAATTTCCCTTTGATCAATGTCAATGTAACTCTTTTTCCCTACTTGAACTACGTGAAATTCTCTGGTACTGGAATGAGCATACTTCCATGCAATCTTATTTCAGCTCTTCCATCACTCCAAGTCCTTGATTTGTCAGACAATCTCCTGAAAGGCCGGGGACTATGGTGGCCATCCTGTTCTTTTAGCAATGTCTTTCCAGCTTTAAAAGAACTTTATGTGAGAAGCAACAAGTTTGTAGACCTCCAGTTCATCTCCAATCACACTTATGAGATGAAGAATTTGAACAAACTTGACTTGAGCACCAACTCACTCAGGCTGATGGGAATGAGCTCGTGGCCCCCTCACCTCACTGAACTCTCTCTGAGTGATAACTCTCTGGGTGATGCAGCCTTCAGTTACCTTTCACCTTACGTGGAAATCGTTAACCTGTCACACACAGGCATTACAGCCCTGACACAAACTGCTGTCTCCCAGCTGTCTAGTTTAAAACATCTCTTCTTGAGCTCCAACAGCATCAGTAGCCTGCCTTCTGACCTATCACTGCCTGATCTGGAGGAACTACACATTCACCAGAACATCATCAACACCTTGAATCAAAACACTTTTGAAGGACTGCCTAGACTGAAGAGACTGAAAGCTGGAAGAAACCCCTTTGCCTGCAATTGTGATATAGCCTGGTTTGTGACCAGCTTTAATAAAACTCTGTTAACTGACTGGCCCTCTGATTACACCTGCTCCTCTCCACACGATCTTGCTGGCATGGCATTAGAAAACTATCATCCTGGCTGGGTGTCTTGCACCCCATGGATTCAAGCAGTTATTTCTGTAGTAATAATTATAATTGTAACCGGGGTGTTGGGATATGCATTCTACACTTTTGACGGCGCCTGGTACCTCCAGATGCTGTGGGTATGGCTAAGGGTGAAGCGCAGGGGCTACCAGGAAGCCAATAGGTTGAGAGCAGCTGCCTTCAAGTACCACGCCTTCATCTCCTATAGTCAGAAAGACTCTGAGTGGGTGGACACCCAACTGGTACCCAACCTGGAAGCAGCAAATTTTAACCTCTGCATTCATGAACGGGACTTTGTTCCTGGTGACTGGATCATCGACAACATCATCAACTGCGTGGAAGATAGCTACAAAACATTGTTTGTGCTCTCCCAAAACTTTGTGCAGAGCGAGTGGTGCAATTATGAGCTGTTCTTCGCTCAGCATCGGGCTCTGAGCATCCAACAAGACTCCCTGGTCTTCATCCTGCTGGAACCCATACCTGCAGACTCCCTCCCTAAGAAGTTTTTGAAGCTGAGGACTCTTCTGAGACAGCAGACCTACATGGAATGGCACAAGGACGAGCGTAAGCAACAAGTCTTCTGGACAAACCTGAAGGCCATGCTTCAGGTAGCTGATAAAAGCATGGTTCTGGAACGTGTTGCTAAGGAGGTGACAGAATTATGTCACCTACTTAATGAAAATGAATAAGATTTCAAGTTTTTTATTTTTCTATTTTGGCAAAATAAGGGTTTGTGATGATGATTCTTAATGATTTAGTCTCCTTATATCAGCATCATAATATAAGCAATTTTTGAATTTTGAAAATTTTTCTTGGTGTTTTATCTATAAATGTTTTCTGATACTGTTTTATAATGACTCTGGCTTAAATTGCAAAGTGGTGTTACTTGTTTAGAATTTGGTGATCAGTGGTCATTGTCAACACACAACAACGAAATGTGTCCTCTGCATTTAACCCATATGTGACATAGCAGGAGGCAGCTAATTCAGCACCTGTGGAGCAGTACCTTGCTCTGGGTACCTTAGTGGTGCCTTGCTGGTTGGGGATTCAAACCTGCAATCTTTCAATTACAAGTGCGCTTCCTTAACCATCAAGCTACCACTGCCCAGTGGCTAATGGCTATAAAATAGTTTTCATTTATATCAGGGGTGGCCAATCTTATCCGCAAAGGGCCAGTGTGGATGGAGGTTTTTGGGATAACCTGTAGGTCAGCTGTTCAAACCCAGGTGTGAGGACTCTTCAGCCAATCAGTAATCTAATTAGGGAGTTGCAGTGAAAGCCCGCACACACACCCGCCCTTTGCGGATAAGATTGGCTACCCCTGATTTATATGAATTAAGATGTATCAGCTTCATAATGAATGTAATCAGAAATGCCTAACATAATACATAATACAAAATGCGGATTTTCTAGTGTAAAATCAGGATATGGTAAGTTTCAGAAAGAAATGCAGTTTATATAGAAAAGCTAAAATTACTTGGAGCATGTGTGCAGGATGTGTTAATGGTGTGCAGAGGCTTTCTACTAAATGTGCCCCTGATGGAAGCTCAATAAATAAACTTTTTCATATCAGTATTTACATCCTCCAGTCTATACTTGTGGTCTTTTTTGTGCATTGTGTCCCTTCCCTTGGAGGGAAACCTGTCATCTGATCTTGGGTAGAGAAACTTCCCCTGATACCAACTGTAACAATGTATGATGAGCCAGAGAGCCATAAAATGGGCTTTAGCTACAAAATATTGTTTCATTTACTCTCCACCAGCACTGAACACCAGCTCCTGCACGCCAGTCGGCTGTTGCGCTTAGCAACAGATTCTTTGCTATCAGCAGAACATCTGCTGAAGTGAAAAAGGTGCTCGTGATTGGAGACTCGATTGTTTACTAACGTTAGCATTCTAACAATCGGAAAGCAGCGGTTTATGTAAAATGCCTCCCCGGGACCAGAGTTTCCAACATCTAGGCGAAACTGGACTCCCACTCCAGCAACGAAGTCTCCACCTTGGTTGTTCACACTGGAACTAATGATATAAAGTCCTGACAATCCGAGGTATTAAAGAGGAGCTTCATTTCTATGTGTGCAAAAGCTGAAATAAAATGTCACACTCTAATTGTCTCTGGTCCCTTATCAACTCTCTATAGAAGGGATGTAACCTATTATAGGCTACTCTCCCTAAACCTTTTTTGGTTTTTAGAAACGGGACGGTCTTCATCCTAACTGGGGAGGATAATTTATGTTATCCCAAACCATGGCAAGTAAATTACATGCCTGACTGAGAGCACCACCCAGGCCTCAGCCTCGCAATCTTAAATCGAAGGCTGTTTATTCCCCCACCTTTAGGTCATGTTTAGCTTTGACCCAGGTACTCCCTCACATGGCATCCCCTAAACCTAGCACCTATTTAGAAACAGATTTGAATGAGCATAGAAAGAATTTTGTAAGTATTATTAGACCAATACTTAGAACTAAATGTTCTTCTGGGGGCTCCTGTGCAATTAACTTAATATCAATCCCATTAATAAGATTGAATGAGCCACACCATAAACCCTCCATAAAATGCGCACTATTAAATGTTCACTCTTTAGCGGCCTGACAGCTATTTTTAACTCACTAATAAAAATTGAATCCAAGACTATCAAAGATTTTACATTTGAAGCAATGCTAATTCACATGGTGTCCGACCCACCCATCTATATTCTTATAGTATACAGACCACCAGGATCATACACTTTGTTTCAGACCGAATACAGGGAACATCTCTCTGACTTAGATATCAACTTAGAGAATATTATAATACTTGGAGACTTCAATAAACATGATTTGATGGACGGAGTTTATGCTCATCATGTATCTGTCTGTCCATTGAATAAGTCCTTCTCTAACCATTTTCTAATCACCTTTGTGATTGAGCCACCCTCTTTGTCTATGACAGAGAAGATCATTAGGACACATCCCCTAACTTAAGGTCCATCCCTGTGCGGCTCAGTGGGCTAAACTTGTGTACCTGTAATCAGAAGGTTGTCAGTTCAAACCCAGTCTCAGCATGTCTGTAGTTGCCCCAACAGGTGGCTGCCCTTCATGCACAGCTTACTGTACAAAGAACAAGTTGAGGGAGGTGTAAAGACAGTTTATCCACAGGTATCAATAAAAGTGTCTATTACTAAATGACAGAAATTCCCTATGATTTATTAATGGCGTAAGTATTGTGAACTTCATGTCTTGTCAAGGAAGTCACCCATGACTTCAATACAGTGGTTAGTTGGATTTTTGATGAAACAGCTCCATTGAAAAATAAAGTGGTAAAAACCATTGGACACTCCCCATGGTTTAATGATCACACACACACTTGCAAACAAGAGTGCTGCAGATTGGAGCACAAATGGAAATCCACGTGCTTAAAAGTATTCAAGTTAGCATGGTCCAACAGCCTGCAACAATTCAAGCACGCCCTTTATAGGGCACGTTCAGCCTATAATTCTAACCTTATTGATTGCAGCAGAAATAACCCTCATTACCTTTTTAAAACAATAGCTCATCTAACAAATAAGGCTGAACTTCTGCTACCGAGTAATTTCTGCAGGCAATATTATATGAAGTTCTTTAATGACAAAATTACAAATATTACGCTTCAAACATGTTCAAATGGCTCACACAGCGTCAGTGCAAGTGGAACTTGAACACACCCTTAATGTTTTTGAATTGATTAATGAACAAGAGCTAAAAGCTATTATAATTAAGATCAAACCAACCACTTGTCCACTGGACCCAATCCCCACTAAGCTTCTTAAAAATCCCTGAGAGCTCCGGCAAGACCTATAACTGCCATAATGGATGCGTCCCTGTTATCAGTTGGTCCCTGACCAACTTAAAATAGCAGTAATCAGGCCACTACTGAAGAAGCCAAGTTTTGATCCAGAGGAGTTCAGGAATTACAGACCTATCTCTAACATATGATTTTTGTCAAAAGTTCTGGAGAAGATTGTTGCTGCTCAAATTCACTCACACTTGGAGAGACACAACATACTGCATTGTTTCCAGTTGGGCTTCCACCCTTGACACAGCGCTGAATCTGCCTTGACTGTCGTTAATGACAATAATGGCAACTGACGCTGACAGCGTGACTGTGCTAATGCTTCTGGACCTTATATTTGAGGTTGGGTTGTGTGGAACGGTGTTGAAGTTGTTTAAATCGTATTTGATTAATCGTTATCAATATGTTCAAGTATCAGACACTTGTATTCCATTGTTAATGTCACTGGTCAAATATGAAGTACCACAGGGATCCATGCTTGGTCCTTTATTGTTTTCTCTCTACATGCTCTCATTAGGAAATATAATGAGAAAAGATAACGTTAACTATCAGTCCTATGCCAACGACACCCAAATATACATTTCAGTTATGCTTAATGACACCACGTCTATTATCACTTTAGCTAATTGCTTTAATGAAATCAAGAAATGAATGGCTAAAAACGTTTTATCACTAAACACTTAGAAAACTGAGGTTCTGTTTGGAGGCATGTCTGCAGATAGGAATTTTATAATCTCTGCACTTCACTCCAGAGGACTGAACTTTTCTTTCAGCAGCTCAGCCCATAATGTAGGTGTCATCTTGGATGCAATCCTCTCATTCAAATCACATGTGGATGCAGTATTGAAGGTATGCTTCCTACAGCTACACATCGCCAAACTGCGACGATTTCTTACTATTCAAGGCACAGAGAAATTGATACATGCCTTTGTATACAGTAAGTTAGACTACTGTAATGCTGTGTTATCTGGTAGCATATTGAAAATGCAGGAGCTTCAATTGTCACCTGGATCAGGAAGTTTGAACACATAACCCCTGCTCTTAGTTCCCTGCATTGGCTTCCCATTAGGTTTAGAGCTGACTTCAAAGATCTCCTACTTAATCTCCTACTTAAGGCACTTAAAGGTCTAGCTCCTGCCTACCTGACAGAATTACTTTATAATATTTATAAGCCGCATTGACCACTCAGATCATAGAATGCAGGTTTCCTTGATGTTCCACATATAAATAAAGTGAGAGTGGGCGGTAAAACATTCTGCTACAGGACCCCTATATTATGAAATGGTCTACCAGCCTATGTTCGGGATGCTGATTCGGTCTCAGTCTTTAAATCTCGACTGAAGACCTATTACTTCAGTTTAGCTTACCCGCAACCTAACACACCGTAACTATGGCTGCTGGTGCTGCTGTACATGCCCGTTTTATCCACTTTGCTTGTGCATTTATGTGTCAACGCATGTTCTGACAATCCATGCTCTCTGCCTTCCCACATGCCTGAGTGGTGCACAGGGCACAGGGTGGGCACCATCTGAGCTGGAGTCCTGGTTCAGTCTGATGGAGGGGTAAGATCGCAAATGGGACATACAAACTGTATCATTGTTGGTGCAGCCTTCAGTGTCACCCTACACAGGCCAGCGTGCAGATCATACAGTACTTATGGATGGACTTTGGCCACCCTACACAGGCCAATGTGGATAACCGACTCATTGATGAACTTCTGGCTTTCGTTATTTAATTTTTTCCCTTCCTTTTGCCTGTTCTTTAATGATGTAGGAATGTATCACAACACATCCATGTAAAGCACCTTGGGACAACTTTGTTGTAAAAGGCGCTATATATAATTGAATTGAATTGAATTGAATTGAATACCCAATCACATTTCCAATCACAAAGCAGGAACACAAGACTCTACAACAGTGATTCTAATCTTGTCATTGGGATCCCCAGCCAGCCTACTTTTTTGCTCCCTCCAAGCTACCTGCCAGGGAGCAAAAACATAGACTGTCTGGGGGTCTCTGAGGACCAGGTTGGGAAACAAGCTCTAGAAACAAGTAGCAGTCAGATGAAAGTGGCCACATCCTCACAGCTATACTATCAGAATTAGAATTCACTATATTGGCCAGGCAGATCTGCATGCACTAGGAATTTGTCTTGGTAGTAGTGCTGCATACTTTCACAATCAACACAGAACATTGATTGGTATTTACAAAATGTGCAACGTGTACCACCCCATCTAGCTGTGCAGGTTTTCCTGTTGCCTATAACTTGGTTACCAAATAGACACAAATAAATAATGTTATACATGAAGTATATTTGTGCATGGTTATGTTCAAAAGGACATAGCAGCAGCAAAATATGCAAGGAGCTCAAGAATGTGCAAAAAGTGTGGGGGCGGGGGTCTACAGACATGCAAATGTTATGGAATAGAACTCAAATCTGATTGGTTAGCATTACTAATATAGAAAGAAGCCATTTAAAGGTTGATTTGTTTTTCCATGTCCAAAAACATCTGCCAGATGTCTCTGGAACAATCAGCGTTATAAGCAGCTATGGTTTGCAGAATGAAATGCTTCAGATTTCATTTTTTATCTCTTGGTATTGAGTGGAGGGGACCATGGCCACTCCTGGCTACTCCTTAGGTCCAACCCTGCAGAGGTCCTTATATCGCCTGTATGTCACCCACGTTTTTGGTGTCCAGGCAAGGCCAGATGTGCTCTTGGTGTGCACAGCTGCAGGAAGTGTTTATTGGGTATGGTGATAC